AACCTGCATTGCAGTTTTAGTTGCTTTTAATTGGCTACACAGCTTCTAATTGGATATTATGATTGTTTTTTGAAGTTAATGAAAATTATACAATTGTTTCATGAGTGGATATTCGTTTTTGACTGCCATTGAATGCTTGTTTTCAAATTTGAGCAGATTTTGTTGCAGAAACTGCAGTGCAGTTTCTGTTTATTTGTTGCAGATTTTGAACAGAACTTGTCCCATAATTCAATTTTAGAATACTTTTTGCTTGTCTATGTTGTGATTTGATATTAGTTTTAGTACTTTGATTATTAGTGCAGTTTGTTGTTTTCCTTTCGTTTTGTTGCATCCTGTTCCAAGATTATATTACAGTTTATATGTATACGAAATATGTTCTTATATACCATAACTAGAAATATTTACAAACATCCACAAGAATTAAGATACATATTGTCTTGAGTTAACGAAAGGCAAATCACTAGAGACGATTAATTACACAGTGTTTGTGGTGTAGGAGTTTTGTGACATATTGTGCTCGATATTCATTCATGAAATTCTTGTCCACATTTTTTGGAATGGGCTGTCCTTGTGCTATTTTATCCATGTAGAACATGACGAACATGCCGCAATCCAACCTGCAAATGAATACGAGATTAGCTTTTGGTTTTGAATGATTTCAAATTGTAATGAATGGTTGAGTAGACACAATTCTTACGAAGACGAATTTTGTTGAGCACATTCTGTGTCATCCTCAAATGGAAACTGATATGGATTTTGCAGAATCCAATTTAGAGTGAGTTCTTCATTTGGGGACAAATCAACCTGTGCAGGTGTAGGGGGCCCTTCTTTTTGCTTCACAAGTTTTGGTATTGTTTTAGTTTCTAAGAACTCTTGTGCTTGTGGTCTGATATATTCTAGCCACCCTTCCACAATATTAACCTGTTTAAAGAAGAAGAAAAAAAGAGAAAAAGAAATGGTAATCAGTGCATTGCATATTATAGTTTTGGTCTGAAATTAAGCAGTACGTATAATACAGAAACTGCATTGCAGTTTCTGTTTGTGTTTGTGCTGAGAAATT